TGTGTATGAGTGTTGTGCTATGTGTATGAGAGTATGATTGTTCATGTAAACAGGTATAATTGTGTGTGTATGAGAGTATATTTGCGTGTGTGTATGAGAGTATGATTGTTCATGTAAAGCAGGTATAGTTGTGTGTGTATGAGAGTATGATCCTGTGTGTGAGACCCAAGTATGAATTATGTCTCATACGGCCCCTCATACACAATGACTATATTGTTGACTATGTTGTTTGATCTAAAAACCTTTAACAGAGTTTTTATACATTCGTCACCCCATGCTAGTGTATAAACATTTTTGGAAATTAAGGGAATTTTTTGAGAATCTGGTCATCCTTGTCTGATGCAATGCCTCACAGACAGGGGGGTAACTTTTCATGGTACACCTTTGAAGTAACAACATAGGAACAACAATGATGAAAAAGAGTTATAAGTCACCAGCAAGTCAATTTGCTGCTTCAGTTCTGTCAGTTTCTTTCCAACAGTTCCTTTTTTGCAACTGAACAGTTGGATGAAGCTTGGTGTGTATTGGTCCAGAGCCTCAAAGAAATCTCCTTCAAGATTCTTACTGGCAATTCTGTTAAACTCAGCAAATACCTGAAAAAGAGAAAGGGGAAGAAGGAGAAAAAGACAGCCTTAAGTAATCAATTCATAACAATTGTACGCACAATATATTAAAAGCTTTCAAGACAAAAAAGATTAATTTCTTTCATATTCAAATACTACTTAAAAAAGGCTGATGCATTGACTTCATACAAACTGGAATTAAATACTGATTTAAAACGTATTCAGGGCAATAAAATATTAAGAATTTGATTAACTTCTGAGATTATTTTTTTGCTTCAAAGAGCTGTAAAATCTATCCTTAAAATTTAACTTTTCAGGATCTTTTCAGTTTAATAGTAGCTTACCTGTCTCTCCATGAAAAGTGCTGGCCAACGTTCAGCCATGTCTTGGACAACAGCCTTGTTTCTCACTATCTCTTGTTGGCGCAATGGGAATGTTAGATCCATTAATTTTGAGATGAGAGACCCATTTGGTTGTTTTTTCTTCATCTCCTCTAGGAGAATATTTCTGTCATCTTCAAGGCTTTTTTCATCATGGCCTTGAGGCAAATTAGGCAGATAATTAGCTTCACCTCTTCTTGGCCATTTGATATTCTTACTAGATGCCTCTCCCTCTGCATTGGCTCTGCTTCTTTTACCAACATTGACTGCAACATCCTCACATCCAGCTTTTCAAAACTTGGTGCGAAAATATGCCATCTTAAACATAAGGCTGTTCTTCCACCCATACCATCCAGGCTGAGGACCAGGCTCAGTGAGGCATGGGTGCTTGCTGATTAGTGCTTTTGCAACACTGCTGAAGTCATTATCGTCAGGATAGGCCTTAAAACTGTACTTAAAATAATTACATAAAGGAGTATGATTAGATTAGATAAAGCGGTTTGCCACAATGTTTGAGAATCATGTCCTATGTTACTAAAGCAGGTCATGTTCAACATGCGCTACTTAGCATGACGTCGACAGTGGACGCTGAATGCGTGCGACTTTCAAATGCAGGTTATCAGGGATCCAGCGCAGCTAACATTAAAGATTTTTTTTTATCCCTCCTTGACTAGACAACTGAGAAAATTATTGCAAGCCAGCTAGTAGATCACTTACTGTTCTGCACATTACATTCGCTCCACGCAACTCTACAAACATATACATTAAGACAAATATATAAACACACTGTTTCATTCACAATGAGATTGTGGGTGAGTTTAACACTTTCCTGTTCTCATCCCAAATTAAGGAATGGTGTCAATGGACAAGAGGCAAAAGCAACAGACTTTCTGCGATAATGGTCAAAGGCTGTGGCAGAGTTTAGCACAATTAAGTTCTCTCCCATGCAAGCACAACAGACTGGCGCTCATTAACAAAAGTAAAACAATGTGAAAAAGGATGAAAAGAAAGGTACTCACCAAATTAGTGTGCCAAGTACCACAGTCACCGGTATGATGACAACAATGAGTACAACTGCTGAGATGACGTCAGGCTGCACCTAAACTTGATGTGGCATGTCCACGAAATAACTGCCGTAAAACGCGCCAAGTATACAGTAGTTGAGCAGTTCTCTGCGCATGCCCGAGCTTTTTAAATAAATTCTGATGATGTGCTTCACCAAAATGTACTACTTTATTGTTCTTTTATCTTTTTTTATTCATTGAGACAAAATTAGTATTATTTAATTTTTTGGTTTATTTTTCTAAAATGGATTACATTTCAGTTTATTACAATAACTCATACTGTACATCAACAAATAAACACAAACTACTTGATCATTTCTATTATACGATTATTATAACTCAATCAGCTACCAAACCAAGAGTAAGTGTATACAGTGTATGAAGAAAAAAAACCTCTAATCTGTTGTCCTGTGTAAAGTGGACTGAAATTTCGCCCCCCACTGCCACAGTGTTTACATACTTACTATTATTGAGTTAATTCAGCTAAAGGACATTAATTTGCTTAAGCTTTTACACCTAAAAGTACACGACTTATTTAAGATGAGTGTTATTAGCAAGTTTATAAAAATTAAGTTGTATCAACTCAATATTGTCTATTAAATTTTATATTACATTTTACAGTGTAGTCAGTTACTGCATCAATCTGTGCACTGTAAAAAATCAAAAAGTTAAGACAAAATTTGAAGGCAACTTATTGCACTTGGGTTTTGAAGGCAACTCAAAATTTTAAGTTTTGAAGAAAACCACCTATTGTTATGCTGAGTAATTTTTTTAGATACATTTTTTAGATATTTTTTTTCTATAAAAACTTAGTTGTACATACTAAGAATTGCTAACAACAAAAGTTGTACCAACCTATTCTCTTTTCTTTAGATTTATCTTTCATATGTGTAAAGACTTTAAAATTTGAGTTTAGCATGCTAAGGCTTCACCCTATCGCAATGCCCAGGGGTACAAAAACAGTGCCCAAGTGCTGGTTGGGCTTGAACAGGCAATCTTTGGGTCAGAGGCACAGAGGTTTAACCCACTGAGCTACATGCTGCCACCTCTGGATGATGACGCTGCCAAAACTCTGTAAACAGTGTTTTTGTGTTAGCACCTTATTCAGCTTATGTTCCATACACCTGAGCATGTGGCTGTGTGAGCTAAGCCTCTCTACTCATGGTTCAAAGGCCACCCGTTCAAGCCCAGTGTCAGCGCATGTGGGGGCCCTTGAGCAAGGCCTGTGACCCCCAGCTCCCTATAGGTTCCACAACTGGTAGCTGCCCTTCACAGTCAAGTTTGCTGTCATTCCTCACAGGGATCCTCAAAATCTGTCTGCTATTATTTCTTACTATCATGTTTTAAATAAACATGCTAATTGACTGTTTTGTTATCTTCATTTATAATAATTAGATGGCACGTATTTTGCGATTTTGAATTCTTAGCACGTTTAACTAAAATTTAAGTTTTTACGCTTATGAAAGATAAATCATCTGAACAAAAGAGAATAAGTTGGCACAACTTTTGTTTTTTTTGTAATTCTTAGTATGTAAAACTAAAAATCAGATTTTTTTTTATAGATATGAAAGATTCCCAGTCAAAACTCAATCACAGCATTCACTGATTCAGCTAGAACACATTAGACATTTGTGGTAGTTGGTACAAGCAACGACTAAACAATCAGTTGACTTTCTGCACTTAAGGTGAAACCAACGCCTATACTAATGACACACAAAATACGTACTGATCCCTGTACTCTGGGTCACCCTTACATTTTGATGAGTAGCACAAGGTCCAGTTCTTAGTGTAACACCTGTGTGGCGCCTACCTTTTGATAATGCCACACTAGTCCATAAGCCAGGCTCTAGGTACGGAATGGGAGGCAGTAAACAAAACGGTTTGAATTTTTTTCTTAACTTTAGTTTATAAGGGAAAAAACAAAATAAATGTGCATATGCTCCTACAGCGTAGTCACATACAGAAATTGACATAAAGTGAAATAAAACAGTAATTGAAATGTTTTGGGCTATTTAGTTAGCTTCTCGTATTTTGGTGGGATCTAAATTCCTATTTTAGTTGTCTAATTTTGTTCTGTATAGAGTTCAGTCAAAGTATTATTCACCAGTTTGACATTAATTCTCTTCTAATTAAATGGAAACTAATTATTTTAAACGTTTAATTTATATCTAATATTTGACTGCATATGATGAGGTAACTATTTGGTTTAACTCCGTATAAATAGTGATTTTGGCTTCTTAAATGGTTTTTTTTTAGTTCGTCAACACCCAAATTAAACATAAAAAATGCAATTTACCATTTCGGACATCAAGCAATCAACACTTAAACATAACCTCTTTTCAACACATTCACAATTGGTTCAAATATATACCTACGCAATGAAAACAATAAATGGTAACTTTTCCTATTCTTACCAGAGTTCAGTTTAATTAAACTATGAAAATTAAAATAAAGCAACCCAGTCTTTCTTTTTCCGGGAACGAACGTATTCAAATGCTGCTTAAAGAAGGAAAAAAAAGAAGAAATGGTCATCCAACCGTGTCAAAATCCGGAGGTCGAGATCTGTATTAACCGTCCGTCTCCAAGTCGTCTTTTCCGTTTGGGAGGCTCGCCATCTTGACTTCTGTTCCAAGTGTGAGGATTTTTCCATCCACGAGTGCACTCAACGATTTAAGCAAATAAAAACCGGGGGAAAAAAACGACCTGCATGCAACAGATATCATCCATGAATTCCACAAAGATATATCTTTAGCGACATCCGTATTAACATAGATGACGCAGTTGAAATGTAAATGTTAAGTAAAATAGCGCGATAACCAAACAAGAAAATTAACCGTACATTTTCCTGTCAGACATCTCTCAACGATATATAAAAACAAAAATACATCGAAAACATAAATCTTACTCACCAATCCCTTCAGTAAAGTTACATAAGTCACAATTTCACCGTATAGGTTTTAGCTTGAATGTCTTATGTCACCGCTTAAAATTGCAGTTAATTAATATCTCTCCTTTTGTTTCTTTTAGGGCTTGCGATCACAGGTTTCAACTTTTTTTCTTTTCTCCTACATCCAACCTACGGTAAGTATTACAGCAAAGTGTAATTCCTATATTACTCTTTTATATCGTTCTTAAAGCTGTCGCACCGCGTTAAGAGTACGTCTCTTTCTCTTTTTTTTCCCGTCTCGTCAGTTTTTTGAGCTCACTTCCGGAAGACTACATTAAAGTTAAAGCACTTATTTTATTTATTTCTTTAATTTCCTGCATTATCTTTAATAAATTATCTTGTATTCATACAACATATTTATTAATATATTGTAACATGAGTTAAAACATTTAATTAACATTTGATTCCTGATGTCGTGTCCAATGTTTTTTTTTTCCATCCAGCTTTTATTAAACACAGTTTGGTACCTCATGGCATATGTAAGGTATATTACGTATTACAGTTCTGATATATACGATTATTAATAACACAGAATTGCAATTCTAGTTTATGTATATGGTCTTTCTATTTCGCGGATTTTCACCTATCGCTGATGGGTCTGGAACGTAACTGAGGCGATAGGCGGGGGATCACTATATATTCTAAGGCTTAAACTATAAAAAAGTTTATGTATATGGTCTTTCTATTTCGCGGATTTTCACCTATCGCTGATGGGTCTGGAACGTAACTGAGGCGATAGGCGGGGGATCACTATATATTCTAAGGCTTAAACTATAAAAAAGTTTATGTATATGGTCTTTCTATTTCG